CAGGAGACAGAGATTATCTTCCCCACAGAACACAACACTGCATTTCATGCACCGGGATCCCCTCCCGGAATGTGCATGATCCCCCACAAAGCCTCCCATTGCAACGCGATTAACACGCACCACCGCCCGCCCGCAGCCACACGCTCGACATTCTACGCGCAGCCACACAGCCGACACCGTCTTGCAGCTGCAGGGGCCGCTTCTTGTCCCTTGCTGAAAACCGTGATCAACAACCTCACAACCATGTCTGATGCGGACGATCAACAGGACACCGGTGGGCGGCGGGCAGCCTCCAATCCCCTTCTCCAGTTGAACGGCGCCTTCCCCTTCCCCGCAGGGACACCCCCAGTTGAGGGCAGCTGCCCGCGGCCTGCCGCGAGGCCGCGTCAGGGCGGCTAAAAGGCGTCACCTCACCCATCGGGGGGCGTCGGGCGCAACACCCTCCCTCAAGCCGCGCCGACGGCGCAGCATTCTCGTCCCTCGCAGGACCTTTCGTCCGCGCCCCGCAGCAGAGGAGCTGTCCGCCGAGCGGGGACACGTGTCGTGCCCCATCCCGTCGCAGCCCAACAATCGCCGTCGCCCCCCCGCACTCACCAAATGGCGACGCCAACAGCGGCAAACCCTTTTGCAAATCTCCGACCAGGCCGATTCCCAAGTCCCCGTCCCCCTTGATTCGCGGTGTCAACCCCGTGCGCCACCTTCCTTGGCCAGAGGGACCCCCCACCACCCCCGGCCCACCCCCCACCCACCCACAGTTGGGGAAGCGGCCTCTATTTAGCACGCCCGGTTTGGCCGGGTTCCGCACGAGCAACGCTTGGGTTGTTTTCAGCCCGCACGATGGCCTACACAGCCATAGTTTCTCCCGGGCCTTTGTTGTACTTTTAAGTACGTGTAACATCTTGCGGGTCCACCCTCACGCCCCCACCCGCCCCCCAGTGCCTGTCAGCCGTCCCGCTCACCCGTCCCGGTCGCTCGAAGCGCTGCCGCCCCGAGGCCCTCGGCCTCGGATGCTGCCCCCTGCTCGGCCTGGCAGCCACCCGCGACGGATCCCTCCGCCCCATCGCGGAAGGCGCCTCCATCCATCCCGCCAGCGCCATGGGCGGCGCTCAGGCCGGCCGGCCTGCGGGTCGCGCCGACGTGCGCCCTTCGATGGCGACGGAGAGAAAAGAGATCAGAGGAGCGAATGCCGTGAGAGGGGTGTGCGCGCCGTGTGCCGCGCGGGAGCGCCTATATGTGTCCCCGTGGCGCGGGCGGCGGGGGAAGTGGCGGAAGTGGTAACGGGGTGGGGTGGTGGGGATGGAGTGATATCACTGGTGGGAGGGCGTAACGGTGTGTAAGGGGCGAGGGGCCGCGTGCTTTTTGGCGCGGGTGCCACGTGGAGGCCGTTGGGAGGGTGGGCGCTCAACGGTGACGTCTTTGCCTAGGCGTCCCATTAAAGGCCTGCGGAGCTTCACCTGGCGTGTCTCTACATCCCGCGACACGGCCCGCCCAGCGGCCTGTCTGCGCTTGCGTCTCAGGCGAACAACGTCGTTGAGCCCAAGCCGCTGGGCGCCGGTTGTCCGCCAACGCGCCCCGCGCGGCGCGGACGCCCTCAGGGCAACGCGCAAGCGCGGGCGCGCTTACTGTTGGGGGCTTCGCTCGATCCATCTCGATCAACAGCGAGTCCGGGAGTCCCGTGTGCGGTGCAGCGCTGCTCGCCTATCGCGGCCAGCCAGGATCACTAAGGACGAAGCGTGGCGCGCCAAGACAAAAACGGGGCGGCTTTGCGGGCTATGGCGAGCACTTGGAAGCCCAGGAGTCTAAAAAATTGGGGAGAAATACGCAAAACTGGCGGGCGGCATCGTAGTGATGTCGAAAGCCATTGCCTTCGTGAGGCTGCCACACCGCGTTGGCGGCATGCAAGGGTGAGTAGTGGAAAGTGATGCGAGGCTTTCGGGAAAGCCTGGATGTTTTCGCTGTACAACAGTTCAGCTTATACCCTCCCAGTTTGCACGCAAGCCCCATCACTTTACAGCGATATTGTGGGGGGCGTGTTTCTTTTGGTTGGCGCGTTTTCTGTCGATGGATATTGATGTCTGTCCCAAGATCTTTCGTGCGCGCCTGGGGTGTTGAGGGTTGATCGCTCGCCTTTCTCTCTGCGTCGTTCACCCTGTTTTTGTTCTGGCACGACACGCTTTTTCCTTAGATCGTAGCTGGCCGCGATAGGCGACCATCGCCGCGCCGCACATGGGACTCCCGGACTCGATCTTGCGCGGGATGGAATGGGCGAAGCCCAATAGTCAGCGTGCCCGCGTTTGCGCGTTGCCGTCAAGGCGTCCGCGCCGCGCGGGGCGGGTTGACGGACAACCGGCGCCCAGTGGCTTGGGCTCAACGACTCTGGCGCTGCGGGCCTGAGACGCAGGCGCAGACAGGCCGCTGGGCGGACCGTATCACGGGATGTAGAGATACGGCAGGCGAAGCTCCGCAGGCCACATTTAACGGGACACTTTGCGGAGTTGTGCAAAAAATTAATGAGGGTGACGATGATGACGTCGTTGGGAACGTTCGCCGGTTGGGAGTTCATTGGGTTTTCTGACGTTTGTGGGGGCTTTCCGGCGCTCATCTCTGCCAACATGTAATTCAATGTACTTCAAGAATTTTGTGTTTCAACAGCCACCATATATTTGGCGAGTAACTTTTGAATTTGTTTTTCATTCTGGCGATTCGATTGAAACCCTTCTTGTGGCACTTGAAAAAAGTACTGAGTCGCCACCGTACCTCCCCGCCCCATGTTCCGACGCTCATTGTGAGGATGGGCGAATACAAAAGTAATTATGTGGAGAATGGTGTTTGATGGTGAATTGAATAGGGTGTTAAAATATGGTGAAATGGGGATTGTTTGAGTGGAATGGATGGGGTACGCTTGCAGTGAACACTACATGACTGACACAATCATTCTGTAATCCATCTGGTTGCGGCTTGCTCCCCGTGCCTGGGAGAGCGACTGTGTGCAAGTGTACGCACGGACGCGGACACAGCCTGATACTCATCATCATCAAGAATTCTTAAGTACCGAGGCGAGGAGGTATCCATCAGGTCGCTGTTTCGCCCGAGCACAGCAGTGTCCATGACCTTGTTTCACGAGTACCCAACGTGTTGCCCCAATCCACCCGCCGAATTCCTGTGCATCAAAACGCGCAAAAAAAAACCGGCATCCGACGCTCACGTTGGCTCCTCGCAACGTTAGGCGAGCCCCACTTGCATCGCCCGCCCTGATCCACATCCCCCACCCCAATCACCCGTATCCACCCCTTCACAAACTCCACCTTTCCCGCCCCCAGTCCGTCGAGTTCCATCAAAAGCTTTTGCCCCATCCGTATTCGGCCGAATTAATCGACGCCCCCGGCGCCCAGACGGCGAAAAGGTCCCCCTCGGGCCCCCTCCCCAGTTTCTGTCACCAGCAGGGCGCAGCCCGCCGGCGCCCAAACGGCGCCCCATTGGAACGAGCCGCCGCTTGGCGCCAAAAACGCCCGGCGCCCGCGCCGGGTGTTTTTGGAAGGCACCAGGTGCGCGCCAAAACTGGGCTCGCTTTCTGTCCCCGCCATCCGTGAGCAACGCACCCAAAGCTTCGTGGGCAGTTTGTCGAGCGCGCGGCCGTGCGTTAAGATCGCGACAAAGACGGAAGATCCAGGTGCGCGGCGCTGGGAAGGCATGATCCTGGGGCCGGGATGCGGTGGCCCGGGAAAGGGGGAAAAAGGGTTTGGGGCCTCGGTTCCGGTGATTCAGGGCTCGGAATGCATGCCGGCGACCGAGCGCGGCAGGCCTTTCCCCGCGGGCGCCATGGCGATGAGATTGGCCGCTCGTTTTGAAATCTGCCGCTCGGTTTTTCTGCCGGACGAGGTTCCGGACGCGCGCCCCGCCCTCGGTTGCGCATCCCCTTCCCGTTCCTGCCGCTCGCGAAGGTCGCGCCCGCGCCTGGGCGATGAAAATCGAGCAGCGCCCAGCATGCCGGCCCTCGGGCGCCGCGCCGAAATTTCAAACCCGTGGGGTGCCCGGGGTAGGATCGAATCTAGCCAATGATGCCAGCCTTGTCGCGCAGGCCCCCACCCGCGTCTCGACGGGCTCTGTTTCCGCTGAGGGGTTTGGGGCCATCCAGACTTGGCAGGATCCGCGGCCGGCACCCTGCGCCCCGCCAGCCGATGCCGCCCGGGCGATTGATCGGCGGCGGACGCCGGCAGTCCGGTGGCGCGGGGGCGATAACGCCAGCGGGCGCCGATTGGGAAGGGTTTGGGCCGGCCACGCGATGCAGTGCATTTGCCTGGAGTGGGTTTTGTCGGCCAGCGGGGTGCTCGTCGCGGCCGGCCTTTGTCGGTCGGTTGTGTCGCCCGCCATGCCAGTCGGTTTCCGAGGGACCGCGGCGGTGCGGTTTGCTGGGCCCTCCCGGCGATCTTCAAACCCTGTTTCCTATTCGGGTTTTGCTGCGGATGTCCCGAGGTCGCAGGTTCTGTCCTTGACGCCGTCCGGAAGGGCAGCACCGTAGATGCATCGTGCCTTGCTTGAGCGCTCCTTTTCGATTTCTTGCGGTTGCGCCTCAGCGTGTCGTGTTTGTGCCAAGTGTTGGCTCTCGATTCTCCTGCCTTGCCCCTGCCAAGCCAGACGGGCATGACCGCTTTGCCCCTTGCGCCAGAGGTGTTTTTCCAGTGAGCGGGCGGCTGGGCGACGACCGGCGTGGATGTCGCGTCCCTTGCCTGTTGCAGAAGCCAAAGGACCTGAATATCCAATCAAGGCGGCATTTTGCCCCGCTGTGTTGCATTCCACTCATGCTGCTCTGGTGGATTTCTGCTTCATCTTCCACCATGTGGAAACGAGGCTTTACAAAGATTCTTGTTCAAGATGGGCCGGGGATGAGGTGGCTTCTCTTCATAGATGGCCTTCCTGAGTTTGATCCTGTCCGATGACCATACCATGGGTGTCTGCCATGCACACCAGGCCTGTGGGAGCTGGGCCTGCGAAACATCTGAATGAAGCGAGCCAGAAATCCAGATGAGTGTGCAATGAACCAAGGAGACAATCTGACTGTGCAGGGGGACCCCTGCAAGGTCCCCAAGACGAGTTCCGAGCAGAATCCCTCTGGCCCAAAGGACGCTGAAGGCAATGGTGCTGGCAAACAGACGGGTTGCATCAATGGGGCTGCCAACGCCAGTGCGTCGCCGCTGCAACCCATGGCTGTGAACGAAGCCCAGGAGGCCCAGCAGCCGACCGCAAAGGAGGCTGCAGCTGCCAAGGCTGCCCGCATCCGGTTGGGACTGGAGAAGGATGATGGGACACTGGTGGGTGCCAAGCAATTGTTTAGATGGCACATTTGTGTGATTGCATGGCGCAGAACTGTGCCAGTGCCCAGGGTTGCTGGGCACTGGTCACGGAACCACAATGCGGAAGGTGAAAAATTGGTGATTGTATAGGGCAGGAGATGCATGGTGTGATGGTATCACGTGATCAGATTGCATTTCAGACTCAAAAGAGGGAGATTGCCATGTCCACTTTACGAGACAGCAAAAACGCATCATGTCCATATTCTGAGTCCACCCACCATCAACAAGGCCAGCACTGTACATTGTTTATAGGACCTGCGTGGGTCGCAGAGGTCCATCTGCTCAAATTACCATGCACTTGGTGTTACGTGTTTGATGGATTTGGTTTGCAACAGGTTGCCTGTGTCTCTGCACAGTCCTTGTTGTGCACAGACTGCAGCCTATGGGGCTGGGACTTGGTGTCCTGGGCGCATGGTGTTTTGGCTCTTGCCCCTGCCATGCTGTGGCATTCCAGATGACATGAACTGCATCCATTTCCGGACTGCCTTTGTTTTTGATTCTATCCAGTTCCTGTTTCTCAGCAAGCATGTTAATGGTCCGATTCCCTGCAATCAAACAGTTGCCTGTCAATGTTGACCACAGTTACAGGGTGCCCTTGTTTCGCGAATGTGCGCACTTTTTGACACCCAAATTCGGATTTTGATTCATGTGCCAATGTTGTGGATTGCCTCAGGCGCTTGCTGAACAGGCTCCCCCAAAGCTGCCTTCTGGTGTCGAGCGGAAGGTCGACATCGAATATGTGGCAAGTGCGGACCTCCAGCGTTTGGAACACCCTAAGAAAGCTGCTGAGGTGTGGATTTGCCCGTCATCTGCATGTTAGAATGTGCGATTGGATGGATTGATGGATGGATTTTTTGAAGGCTGGATTTCAATGGCTTTGTGCATAGCATGTGTTGCGGGTTAGGCTGCAGATCTGTGCTAAGCACATTATCAAATTTTGACAAATCATTCCCTTGCACCTATTTGGCGATGACTGCATTGAGCAAGGCAAGTGAATTGCAAGTGAATTGAACCTGTTCAGCTGCGAAGCTTTCATGGATGAGTCTGCTCTGATCTACCCCTTGATGCAGCTTTGGCTGCAAGCATGCAAGGCAGTAACCCAGAGCATTGACCAGACACTACCATTTGCACACAACAGTCGATGCCTCATTGGCCCATCTCAGTGTGCTGTCCACTGCTGCTGTTCTTCATCGCACCACATCCTTGTCTCGAATGCAGCTTCTGTGTGTTCATTTTGCTGTGTGTTCATTTTGAGGCTTGTTGCCCATCGCTCTTTGTGTTGTGAACCGCCTTCCCCTCATTTGCTGGTTGAGCAATCACACATGAAGTCTGGAATAGTGTTAGAACTACATTGTTGCAGAAATACAGAATCTCAATATGTTAAATGCCCTAAAAATGACAACAATGTGTATTTTAAAATGTTGCACCACACTTACGAGTTCAGGTGCTGTTCTGTCCCAATGGTGTTTGTCGTACTTTACAGTTTCGTCTGTTTCCTCCAGGGCTTACTGGATAACCTGGCAGCCAAGGACTGGGTGGCACAGTGTGATGCCCTGAACTTGACAAGGCAGCTGGCGGTACACCACAAGGAGGACTGCCATCCACTTCTGTGAGTTTGTCTTTTCTGTATCAAGAACAGATGCACCATGCAGAGTGGTTGCTGGCTGTTGCATATCACAAATGCTAACGGCGCTGTGGAATTCTGATGTGGGGATGTCGATCCAACTTTGTATTGTACACTTCTGTGCCTTTCATCCCCTCTGCGTGGTGCAGGGCTTTGGTTGCCACGTCGTTTGACAGATGTTTTCCAAAGAGTGGCCAAAGCCCTCTCTAATCTGTGTTGACACATCACAAACGTTGCTGCGCTGATTTGTTTGCCTTCAAGGCTGCTATGGGCAGTCTGTTGGCATCAAGCCACACTGCAACTTGGGTGTCCTTTGCGATCACAAATGGCAGAGACAAATGGGTCCAATTTTTTTTTCAGTAAACAGACTGCAGGAGATGTACTGCACTCTCTGTGAGAGACACATCCACTGTAAGTACAACCTGGGTTTGCTCATGAATGAGCAGTGTACATGTGGAGGCTGTGCTCCCTCTCCACTCTTGAAACAGCATTTGCAAACTTGTTCAGGTCACATCTAAATATGAATAGGTGATTGATGATCAGTGTTGGTTTTGTGATCCTTTGATGAAGATAAGCCTCCATGTTTACCTGCATGTCTTCCCTGTGTGCCGCTCTTAAGAGATGATAAGATGACATTATGCCCTTTTGTGCAGGGCCAAGGTCGTCCCAGCTGTCACCAAACTTGTGAAAAGCCTACGTAGCTCAGTCTGCAAGGTATGCTCCCTGCTACGATTGTTTTCTTTTCTTTGCTGCACATTTTCCTATGACAGATGTTGTGCGGTGTGTGGCGATCTGTGATTGTAGTTTTGAAGGCATCTTGACCTGCTCGTTGCTGCTTGTTATACAAGAACCCCTTTGGCGCTGCGACCTTCACGTCTTTGAGGTTACAGCCTTGACACAGCATGTGAACAAGTCCAAAGGGCCTGTAATGGACTGAAATGTGTGGTTAGCAATGGAGCAACAATTCTTTCCCTCACAATGGGAATTTTTCTTCAAGGCATGGGGGTTTTGCAGTTGAGAAGCAGTCATATGTGCTTCCATCAGCTGTGCTATTTCGAGCTTTTGAGAAGTACAGGCGCAAGCTCCAGAAAACACATGCACGGATGTCCGCAATCAACTCTCTGAAACGGTGTGCTGATCTGTGCAGACAGCGATGCTGTGCTGCGCTGACCTGTTCACGGTCTTCAAGGAGGCCATGGTGGAGTTCGTTGATGTGGGTGGGCCTGCCAAGCCTGCCACCAGCCTCCTGTGCCAGCTGCTCCTCCGTGCCGCCAACGACAAGCAGTTTGTGGTGGAGGAGACCCAGCGCACCCTTGCTGCCCTCTCGTCCAGCATACCCCCTCTGGTCACAATCCAAATGGCTGTGCCATACACAAAGCACCGCAACCCCAAGGTGCGTGGCAAGGCTGCTGTGCTGCTCGTATCCGCAGTGGGGCGGATGAGCAATGGGGAGTTGCAGGAGAGTGGGCTGGAGGCACTGCTTGAGGTGGCTGCTGGGTTGGTCACGGACAGCATGCCTGACGCAAGGGAAGGGGCGCGGCAGGTGCTGGGTATTGTAAAAGGGGCGTTCCTGGCAGGGAGGCAGACTGAAGGAAAAGAGGAGGAAGAGGATGTGGAGGAGGAGGAGGAAGACAGTGAGCCGCGCCGTACGCCCTGGCAGGAGTTCTGCCACAAAGCCCTTGGGGCGGGGAAGGCAAAGGCTGTGGTGAAGGCGACCCAATGATGTGTCCAGTCTGGTGCAGCGTTGCCGTGCTGCTGCAGTTCATCGGTGGTGGAGAGGGTTTGTCAGTGCATGTCTGATGCGTTTGGCGGTGCATCAGCAGTGGTAGGCAGACGACCGAGCAGCCCTAAGCGCAGGTCGTGCTGTTGTGAAACGTGTGCCTGAGCGCTGTGCACCTCAAGTGTGGCACATGAAGTGCAAAGAGGGCTTGTGAACAATAGGGCCATGCAGAGAATCCCTTGTGGCAGATTGAATTTGAGAAGCCCCTACTAGGGTGCATGGGCCTGGACCGCTTTGTGCATTTGCATCGCCCATCGAGTCGTTGCGTTTGGGTGCATTTGCCAGCACAGTGTGTGTGACATTCCCAAGACGATAACTCATAGAGGCAGGAAACTGCCCGTTAGGTTCAGTTCAGGACTTTGGAAGGGTGTGCCAAGCTGGATGGACTGTTGTGAGCGTTTCTATTCGATGAGCCTCTGCTGATGGTGCAGGATGTGTCATGTTGCACCCTCCGATGTCCAGGGACAGTCTGGTAGGGATTTTGCAACATCAATTTGGGTGCCATTTATGTCGAATTGACTAATGGGCCAGGAGGGAAGGCTTTTCACGCTGCGAAATTTCATAGTTGCCACAGAATCGACACAAGATGTATAGAGAGGCAACCATCCCTGAGTTGTTCAGAAACCTCCCTCAGGCGTTCCACCGCCCATGTGGGCCCCTAGGCTTGGTATTTACGTTGTAAACACAAATCGTATTTGCGTTTTAATAGTTGTTATGTTTCTACGTGCAAAAATGCGTAAAAGTACGTAAATACGGTCCGTGTACGTTGCGCCTGTGCTGCCACCCGTCCTGGTCAACCCGTGACGGACTGTCCCCTGCGCTGGCCATGGGGCACAAGGGGTGTGTGGCCAATACGCCAAGCACTTTAGGGTCGTGAAAGCGTGGTCGCTGCCAGAGGACACTGCCAAGGCGTTGAAAGAATGGCTCACCATCCACAAGAAGGAAGGCCTGTTTGCACAAGAATCAATGTTCTTGCTTGCCCAACAGCTGAGTGCTGACTTCTAAAAGCTCCACGTAGCAGACCTGCCCACATTAGTGCTTGTGGTTGTGAAGATCTTGTTGCAACCGATCGCAGTCAGCATTTGCGAGCAGGAACTGCTGTTGGACCAATGTTACCGTTCACACCTGGTGTGAAGCAGCTACGGGTGTATCCAAAGCAAGCTGTGCGGAGAGCTGCTTCCATGAAGGGAAGAAATTCTTCACCAACATTCACCAACAGAATTTCACAAACATTCAATGTTGGTGATGATCTAACTGACGCCGAAGCTCAAGCACAATGTGGAGATCAGGGAGTGGCAAACAGACACATTGGAGTGGGCAGAGGACGACCTTTTGTTTGGCGACGTTGTTGCCTTTGGTGAGGGCGAGGTAGACACTGTGTTGTGTTGCAGGTGCTTGATTTGGCAGAGGACTGATCATTGTACGTGGCTTTCGTCATGTATCCTGGGTGTCCCAACGAGGTGCAAAACGTAAAAATAGCTGTAAAAATGACCCCTTGAGCAAATTTACGTTTTTACCTGTAAAAACGTAAACGTAAACGTAAAGACCAAGGCTGGGCCCCCCAAATGTCTCAATTGAAAGCACCTTGGGCTGTCCCCATCACGTGGGCATGCTTGCAGAATCTCATTTTTCAACTCTCAGTAAACGCTAAGAGGCCATGCCTAGGGAATTCCTCGCCTCGTCACAAAAATAATGATGCTCCCTCCTATGTGATTTAAAGTGGCGTCGTGCTCTGAGGTACCAATACCGCTGAGTCATGGCCACAGAGACTTCTGGGGTGGGGGACTCCTGTGCATTCCCAGCTTTGCGTTGATTGCATGTTGAATGCACTTAAATCAATATAGCGTGTTCCTTAGGTCTACCCTCAAAGGACACACGTGGGGCACCTTGCACCTTGCAGGTGATGATGGCGATGCTGACACCCAGACCCCACGCCTGGCCATCTGTTCATTTGATCCTCTCGCCATCCGAATGCAACACATACATACAAAAGGCGAAAAGTTTCAAATCCGGGATGTATCTATGCTCATGACAATAACCACCCTGGTGATGAAGTGATGCACATACGGCATTCGTAAATCCCCGTAAATCCGCCTTGCCCCACAGGGCTCCCCTGCCTGCGTTGTCCACTCTCGTTTGACTAGGAATAGAAATGTCAACAAAGGCCTGAGCCCACAGGTGCCAGGGTTGCGATCGACCATGGTGCAATGACGCTGATTTAGGAACATACTATTCGATGGAGCTGTTTCAGGCCGCTTCAATACGCGTGCAATCAAGGCAATGTATGCCCGATCCTCAAATCAATCCAAATTTGGACAGTAGGTAATTTGTGTTGATAGTGCACCAACAGTGGTCAAGTCAATGTCTCCAATCTGATGAATTGCGGAACCCAAGCTACCCAGCGTTCAACACCACATTAAAATTCAGTACCAGGGAGGACACTATTTTGAATTCTGTGCGCTGAGGGAAGACACATTCTGAATTTGTGCGCTTAGCGTCAATGTGACGTTAAGCTTAGAGGAGCCCCCCCCCCACCCCCCACCCCTCCACCCCCCCCTCCTCTTCTCTTGCGTCATCCTCATTGCGATGCCAGGAACATTACCCAACTCAGCAACATCAACCAACAATGCCATACAACATCGAAATAATTTGAAGGGAAAAAGGACCCAAATTGTGGTAATTGCAATGATTTAAATATTGAGATGCCAAAAGCCATGATAGGCGATGGGAGCAGTCAGAAAAAACTGAAAAATTGATGCACTTTAAGGACTTTCTCGAAGATTGAAAGTTTGAGGGACGTTTTGTATCGAGCCACGAGCTATTTGCCGCCGATCAATGGCGTTTTTGTGCATCGCCACATTTTCTTTTTATTTCATTGCAGTTAAATAATATATGATCGTCAATGGCTGGAGCCCCACCCCACCCCATCCCCCACACCCTTAACGTCAATTTGACGCCAAGCGTATAAAATGCCAAATAGTGTCTCCCCTTAGCATTAGAGGGAGGCTGTGGACGCTAAGAGACTAATAAATTGCACCAAAATCAGAATAAGATCAGATGAATGCTTCTGATCGGCGACAAACAGACCATGATTAATTCCAAAACGCCCCAAAGCATTCATTCTGCAGGAAAATCTCTAGAATGGATCTATTGACGACGAATGCCCTGGTACCCTGCATCTCAGCGGCAACGAAAATCTCGATCGTCATACCTCATCTGATGTAGATAAGAGTTTCCTCGTTTGAGCACATCCCTACATGAATGTAGGACAGGGAGACGCTATGACACCAGTGTCATAATATCGCCCATATGGGCGACCTGATGAACATGGTCACCCACTCGGCATAAGTTAGGTTTTACGGTGTATAAACCCTGTCTTGTAGTGCACAACGTGCTGAGGGTGACCTCCATCGTGCCCCCCGACATGTCACCAGCCGCCACCACCTCGACATCCACAGCTTCCTTTCTGTGCGGGCGTCGAGGATAGTCTTCCGCATGAATCGAGCTTCGCACGGTGCAAGCATGTTAGTTCCGTTTAAATTACCACTTTTACGTTTTCAGCAAAAATGCAAAATACTCGCAAAACGGGGTAAATAGAGAAGGCGCCATTTTGACGGCCATATTTGCGCATCTTTGCGACTAGACTTGTACACATACCCATGCTACGGGAGACGCTACGACGATGTCGATTTGGTACAAATAATGTCAATTTGGCGCTTAGCTCAACCCCCCACAGTAGTCTGGCAGCTTTTACATTGCTTACCTAGGCCATTCAATCTGTGTCACTATTTGATACATCTTCACGGCCCTTTAATTGTCCCATGTTTCCGTTTAAACAGCGCCCTCCAACAGCCGTGGTGGACTGCCCCAATCCATCAAATTGACGGATTGTACTTCAAGAGCAACAAACCGACGCTAACCGTTGCTTTCACGGGAGCGTCCATGAGCAGCTCCCTAAATCCACCCAGCCTGTGCCCCAGCGAAGCGTGCAGGTCGCAAGCAGCATGTGATTGCGCGTCTTGGCGTAAACTTTCAATGCCGCTTTGCAGCGGATTTGCTTTTGGAATCATGTCCAATAGGCGCGGGCCAGTCTGTTGCCCAACATCGCACCTGGAGGGCCCAACAGGGAGCAACAGAAAAGGATGGGGGCGTCGTGCAGTTCACAAGTGCCTTCTTCGGCCGCCTTTAAGGTCGCTCTCAGGCACCGCAGCTGGGTGACCATCCCGCACATTGGAGTTCCCAGGCATGGCGTTTGACGACGCAATTTAGGAATGCCAAGGCCATAGTTGTTCCTTACCGTACAGCTCCTTACACACCGCCTCAAGGCTAATACTACGATACGGCACGATATGGGTTTTCGAAATCCGCGCAATTTGCGTGGTTGCATTTTCGAAGTACATGAGCGGTTTTAAAATCATTAGAATGGCTATTAATTTCGAACGGATAAGGAAGAAATATGTCGATTCTCGAATGCTTGGCTTCAAGTTGACGTTAAGTTCAGAGCCCCATCGCGTTGGAGGCTGTACATATTCTTTTCACAGCATGGGCAAAATCTCGCATACATTTGTTTAGGAGGATGGGCCTTTTGCTTGACCTGTTTCTTTCTCTCTTTGTAACAAATCTCCCCCCCCCGGTCTCTTCACCGATTGCATGTTTTTTGCTCTTCATGGTGCTCGTGTTGTGTGCTCCTTTCCTTGCACTGGAGAGTCTACATCGTCCCTCTTCGGTAGGGAAAAGAATCGCAAACACACTTGCTCAGGATGGGGGTGGTGCCCTTGGTATGGCGATTTTCTCTTTTGCGCCACAACAAATCTTAAACCTTCCCCGTCTTTACGTCAAACCTAATACCAATGCCGGAATGACTCAGCAACAATTTCTACTAGCACAACACTATATCGACATATCCTATAAAGCAGGACAATAGACAGCGCTGCAGCGGTGCC